GTTAGTGTGAGGATGTATGACCTGACTGCTCTTGCGTTTTGTTGGGGAACCTGGGAAACTTTGTGAATCTTAAACCATTTTTAAAATCTGTTTTCTGCCTCATGTAGGTAGTTTGTGAGGGAAGTGGTTGAGATACTAAAATTTGGTTCCCACATCCCAGGAACACTAGGGGATAGGTGTCCATGTTATCTTATTCTTCTTTCTTCTTGATCAAGTCTGTTGCTGATGTTTCTATTTAAATTCAGATACTGTATTCTTCATTTCCCAATATCTGTTTGGTTCTCTTTTATATTTTTAGATGCATTCTTAGTTTTATCATGCATAGTTTTGATGGTAATACTTAGTTTTCTATGTTTTTTTTTCTTCATTATTTTTCAATTGAGCCCCTTTAAGATGGTTATTTTGAATTTTTTGTCAGGTAATTAATAGATCTTCATTAACATAGGACTAATTTATGGAGACTTATTTTGTTCCTCTGGTTGGACTATGTTTTTCTCTTTCATTGTATGCCTTGTGATCTTTTGTTGCTATTTAAGGTCATGAGAAGCAGATTCCATCCATTTTTTTTATGAACTTGCTTTGTACAGGAGAACACAAAGAACAATGAGTTGTGGTAGATTTTTAAAAAATATTTTTATTGATTTCAGAGAGAGGAAGGGAGAAGATATAGATAGAAACATCAATGATAAGAGAAAAATAATTGATCAGCTGCCCCCTGCATGCCTCCTACTGGGGATTGAGCTGGCAACCTGGGCATGTGCTCTTGAACTGGAATCGAACCTGTGACCCTTCAGTCTGCAGGCCGACACTCTATCCTTTGAGCCAAACCAACTAGGGCTATGGTAGATTTTTAATGGCCTGTTAAACCTATTATGGAAAGGATAATGTGTATGTGTGTGTGTGTGTGTGTGTGTGTGTGTGTGTGTGTGTGTGTCATTTTTTCAAATACAGATGGCATACAGTATATTAGTTTCAGGTGTTCATCCTAGTGTTTATATAACTTAAGTGATCATCCTAATAAATGTCATATCCATTCATAATTATTAGAATATTATTGACTATATTCCCTTTGCTGCATTTTATATTCCCATGACTATTCTGTTACTTCCAATTTGTACTTCTTAATTCTTTCATTTTTATCATCCAACCCCAAACCAGCTTTCCTACTTTCAACCATCACAATGTTATTAGTATATATGAGTCTCCTTCTCTTCTATTTTCTCATTAATTTGGCATCCACATGATGTGAATGTTGATATGCTTGAAGGTGTCCCAGAGGTACCTTACTCTGTCATAATTTTTTTGGATGCCTTTTTCTTTATGCTGTTCTGATTGGATGTTTTTTGCTTTCTTGTATTCCAAATTGTTGTTTTGATTATTGGTTTCATCTACTGTACTATTAATTTCCTTGTAAATTATTCTACATTTTAATTAGTGTATACTTCATTTATGAGTGTTGTTTTTTTTGTTATTTGTGTGTTGTTGTTTTTTCGGTTTCCATGTTCTTTTTTTTTTTTTTTTTTTTTTTTAAAGCTTTGGAAGTTCTATGTTCATCTACTCTTCCTCTAAGTTCATTGAACTTTCCTCTAAGTTTTGAACTCTGCATCTACTAGATTGTTTGTTTAGGTTTTGTTTTAACTTTTTTCTGCAGTTCTGTTCTTTCATTTTGGACATGTTTTGTCTCCTCATTTTGGAAAGATCTCTGTGTTTGTTTCCATGTATTAGGTTGAGCTGCTACATCTCTCAGGCTTGGAAGAGTGGCATAATGCAGTCTTGTAGCATCCAGTGGCATAGCCTCCTGTTTATCTGGGCTGATCAGTCTAGGTGCACCCCACCATATAGGCTATGTATATTCTCCTGTTGTAGTTGAGCCTTGATTGCTGTTGCAATTTCAATGAGAGGGATTTAGACCAAGGCTAATCAGTTGAAAAAATTTGCTGTGATCCTTGTGGAGGATTAGCTGTGCAGGACTCACCTTGTACAGCAGGACTTACTTCATTGTGGTTCTGGTGCCTGCTGAGTCTGCCCCTTGTGTTTGTTGCCTGTGCAGGTGGTTTAGTTAGTGGTTTGACATGGTCTGAAGGTGTCTGCCAGTTGTGCTGGCTTGGGGCTCCATGAAATGCAGGGCAAAGTCAACCAGTGCTTGTGTTCTATCTGGGTCACCTGGCATGATCTACGAAGGGACCTGCATATGTCTGCTACTTATGCTGAGGTTGGAGTTTCTGAGGCAAGGCCAAACTAAGAACTAAGGCCAGCTGACACTATTGCCAATCCTGGGGACACTTAGCAAGAGATATGGCATTTTCTGAAGCCAGATGCTGCTTGAGTATATGCCAGTCTATTTATATTGAAAAGCCAGTGAAAATAGCTTGGTGGGCCTACAAGTAGATGGTGTGGGGTCTCAGGAAATCTCCAGGGTGGGACAAGCAGTGTGAGCCAGGTAGATGGAGTTTTAGATATTGCACCTGCCTACCCGCTATGTGAGGAAAGGACTCAGAAAAGGAACAGTGGCTTCTACCAAAACTTCTTTTTGGAAGAAAGCTTCTGCAACTTTCATATTAATGCCAGGTACTTCGTTTCCTCCCTGTATATCCCTGGCTGATTTCAATTGCTCCCCTAGCACTGGAACTCAGAGGGAGTGATTGAGTATATTCATTTGTGGGCCCTTTTCATTTGGACGCCAGCAGCTATCCTTCATACTCAGCCATAATCCCCACTGGTTTTTATAGCAAGAACTAATGGGGACATCTATTCCTGATCCTGGAACCCTGGACTGGTGGGCCTAGTGTGGGGCTGGGACCCCCTAGCTCCTTAGAGTTGACGTGTGCAGCTGAAATGTCCCTCATGATTTTTCTTCACCCTGTGGGACCTGTCCATTCAACATCTTTGCACCTCCTGTCTCAATGAAGCTTCTCAGTGAAGCTTCTTCTTTATAACCTTAATTGTAGCACTTCTGCTCAACTAGGTGTCAGGTGGTTCTGAATGATGGTTTTTCTGTAGTTTCATACTGGAGAGAAGACTTAGTTGTATTTTTTACATGGTTGTGGGAGAATGCCAGTACCACATTTATTTTAACCACCATCTTGACCTGAAGGTTGCATGTGTGTTTTGTGTAATTTCCCAATTATATATAGAGCTCATGATGTTTTCCTATCCCTGATGTATGTCTTCAGCACTGTTGTCCCTCTGGTGCCTGAACACTTACTTCTTTTTCTTCACAGCTACCACAATACATTCACAGTGTATTGCCATTTCCTTAGTAATCTGTATTATTCAAAATAGAAACAAGTTCTTCAGGTGGCCGCAAGAAAACAAGACTGTAAGACTCACAGTACATTCATTTCTCTTCTGAGAAGAAAGTGAGAATTAGGAGTTATCCCAGTCATTTTGTAGTGTGCCAGGGAGGGTAAGCAAATGTGAGCAACTTTTCTTCTCTCTATGATATGATATTTTTATTTTGTACTTTCTGGGGGCTGTAGTGGTCTTGAGCTGGCTTCTGAAGTACTCTAAAAGGTAATTGGTTCAATAATTATTGGTAACTTAACATCTCCATAGAGGAAGAATGTTTTGGTGCTTCTATCCTGCTATCTCAAATCTTTTCTGTACATTTGAATTTAAAGAATATTTACCTGAGTGTAGTGTTTTATAATTAATTTGGTGTATTTCAGCTATATCTTCTCAAGTTACCCAAGACTTGTTGCCAAAGTCAGGCATAGAAGATTCATTCCACAAAATGTCCCAGGTAAGATACTGAAGGTGTGGCATTGAGAATTTACACTTAATGAAAGTTCTGTAGCGGGCAGGGGAATATGAAGAGAAAAAAGAATGTTATGACGGATGTAAGCAAATGGAGCAATTACCCATATAAAAATCTTATTGGCAAAATATTTTTAAAATATAAAACATGTTAAAATTTTCTACTCTAAGTCACTTATATTGGCATAACAATGTGTTTCTGAACTTAAAGTCCAAAGATATTTTTTTAAAAGTACATATTCTCTGAAGTTAAATTTGCAATATCAGAAAAGTAAACTAGTCCATTGTGCTGATAATTCATTGGATGATTTAATGTAGGATTTGATTAAGTAAAATAGTTCTAAAAAATTAGATATTGAAAAAATGAAGATAGAAATTATAACTATGAATTTGTAAATCCCTTAACCAAGTTTGCATTATTCTTTCACAGATACATATTCTTTCTTATTCCAGAGTCTTTAATTTTTATAAGTGTGTTAGGGTTTATATTCAACCATCTTGGTTCATTAGATAGCAGAATAGGTCATTGGAAACAACTTTACATGTGCAATATTAAATGCTATGACTAAAGGCCTTTCTATCTTCAATGATTACCAGAGTACACATAACGAAGAGGGAAGTCTCCAGTGCAATGAATCCTTGGAAAACATTAAACAAGAGTCAAATTCTGATAACCATCAGACAACTCAGCTTCCACAGATAAATGAGAAGTGTCCGAATGTCTTTGATAAAAGCTCAAATATTGTCATACCTCAGAATATTCATAGTGTAGAGAAGGCAGACAAATGTAGTGAATATGCCAACTCTTTTGACCAGTCATTAAATCTTACTGAACTTAAAAATACTGATATTGGGGAGGCACCTTTCAGGTGTAATCAGTGTGTGAGAGTCCTTAGTCAATTATCAAATGTATATATACATAAAAAAATCCGTGCTAGAGAGAAGCCTTACAAATGTAAAGAATGTGATAAGGTTTTTAAGTTGCATTCCCATGTTATTGAACAACAGACACTTCATACTGGAGAGAAGGTTTATAAATGTAGAGACTGTGGCAAAACCTTTAATAAGTGCTTAGAACTTAATGAATATCAGAGGCTGCATCCTGGAGAAAAGCCTTATAAATGTAGAGAATGTGGCAAAGCCTACAAGTGGTATTCGAGTCTTACCAATCATCAGAGAACTCATTCTGGAGAGAAGCCTTATAAATGTAGAGTATGTGGCAGAACCTTTAATGTGTTTTCAAGCCTGATTCGACATCAGAGTATTCATACTGGAGATAAGCCTTATAGATGTAGAGAATGTGGCAAAGCCTTTAACTGGTATTCAAGCCTTACTCGACATCAGAAAATTCATACTGGGGAGAAACCTTATGAATGTAGAGAATGTGGCAAAGCCTTTAACCGGTGTTCAGACCTTACCACTCATCAGAGACTTCATACTGGAGAGAAGCCTTATAAATGTGGAGAATGTGACAAAGCCTTTATCCGGAGTTCAAGCCTTACCCTTCATCAGAGAATTCATACTGGAGAGAAGCCTTATAAATGTAGAGAATGTGGCAAAGCCTTTACCCGGTGCTCAAAACTTACTGAACATCAGAGAATTCATTCTGTAGGGAGGCCTTATAAGTGTGGAGAATGTGGCAGAACTTTTAATGATTATTCAAGCCTTTTGAAACATGAGAGAAACCATGCTAGGGATAAGGCTTATAAATGTGAAGAATGTGGCAAATCCTTTAACTGGTATTCAAGCCTGACTCGACATCAGAGAACTCATACGGGCGAGAAGCCTTATAAATGTAGAGAATGTGACAAAGCTTTTTACCGGTGTTCAGACCTAACCAATCATTATAGAATTCATACTGGAGAGAAGCCTTATAAATGTGGAGAATGTGGCAAAGCCTTTAACTGGTATTCAAGCTTTACTCAACATCAGAGAATTCATCTGGAAAGAAGTTTTATAAATGTAGAAAATATGTCAAGGCCTTTACCCAGTGCTCAGAACTTACTTAACTTCAGAGAATTCACACTGGAGGAAGACCTTATAAATGTAGAGAATGTAGCAAACCCTTTAAACACTGTTCAAATCTTACCAGATATCAGGGGTCTCTTACTAGAGAGAAACCTTATAAATGATGAGAATGTGGCAGATCCTTTATCCTCTGCTTTAACCTTACCAAACATCTGAGAACGCATACCTGAGAAAAACTTTACAAATGTAAAGGGTGTGACAAAGCCTTTAACCTCTGCTATAGCTTTACTCAGTATTGGGGAATCCAAAACTGGATAGAAGCAATGCAAATGTAAATATTTTGGAAAAACCTTTAGCTATTGCCCAAATCTCACTAAGTATATAGATTCACACCAGAGGGAAGTGTAAAGAATGTGGAAAAGCCTTTCCCCTAGTGTTGGAACCTTAGTCCATATCACATAACTTATGCTAGACTGAAGCAATACAAATATAAAGAATGTGGCAAAATCTTTAACCATTAAACCTCACTAAACTTGAGAGTTCATAGTAGAGAGAAATAATGCAAACGTTAAAAATGCAGCAATGCCTGTATTTACCATTTATATCTTAATTAATAAATGAGAATTTATCCTGGAGAGAAACTTAAAAATTTGAAAAATATGGCAAACCCCTTTAAAGGACCTACAACCTTTCTCAATATCAGAGAATGCATACTGAAGATAAATTCTATATTTGTTATAAATGAAGAAAGATTTTTATCCAAAATATACACTTCAGAAAACCCCACAAAGCTGTAGCCAGTTTGTCTCAGTGGATAGAGCATCAGCCTATGGACTGAAGGATCTTAGGTTCAATTCCAGCCAAGGGCACACGCCTGGGTTGTGGCCTCAATCCCCAGTAGGAGGCAGCCAATCAATGATTTTCATCATTGATGTTTCTATCTCTCTATTCCTCTCTCTAAAACTCAATAAAAATATATTATATATAAAAAAGAAAATTCCATAGAATTTATCCTTTAAAGTGACTTTAAAGATCTAGAAAATCTAGGAAAGTAGTTAACCAAAATTAAATCTAAAATATCAGAAAATTCACAGTAAAAAGTAGTAAGTCAACACTTTTCAAATATGAGTAAATCTGAATACTTATTTTAGAGAACCCCATAAATAAAGTTATGTGGCTTTTTAGTAGGAATCAAAATACCAAGGATATGGATGTTTGAATAAATGTAATTGCTTACACTGTATCTTTTTTTTAATTATTATTATGACAGTATTTGTGATTTTTTGAAACAAAAGTATTAATTGGTTTAAAATTTCAATTCATTTCATGATTCTGTGAATGAGTGTAATGTGTATTTTGACCAGTGTAATATATTGGGTTTGTAATGCTCTATTTTGACTGTGTGAACTTAATATATTCTCATTGATAAAATGAATGAACATAAGTGTATTAACAGTGATGTGTAATGAATGAGGTGTTAACATGCCTTGAATGTTAATATTTCCTACCTCATTCACTATTGTGGGTAACATTTTGTAATGCACTGGAATGATATTACTAGAAGTCCCTTAACCTTAAATAATGTGTAGAATTTCCCCAGAATTGTGTCTTCTTCTTTCTGTTGTACTTACAGGGACATTTTGATAGTTGCAGTAAAGATCTAGTGGGAGTATCTGTAAGAGTTTAGCTAAAATACTTTATAATATTTCTGCATTGGTATTTGTCTTGTGTAGCTAAGGAACCTTGATTTGATTCCCTTTTCCCTCTAGTGCACACACAAGACACCAACTTACAGTGTCACAAGTAAATGTGTAAGTTTTCGATATAACTTCTCAAGAAGCCCTTGAATGCTATAGAGTTTTGTGTACCTCAGGGTCTTTATTTTGTATGCCGCATATATAAGATTACTGAAGAGTTTACCAAAACCTTGCTGATTTTCCTTCGAATAGAACAATCTGGACCTCAATTGAGAACCCCAGGGCACTACACATAGTATTCCTAACAAAGATATGCACTCTGGATCCTGCCACTCTCTGCCTGCATCCTGTCTTGGCCTCCCTGTGTAGCCCTTGCAGGCGTATTGTGTATTTCCTCCAGGCCTGTGAGTTATAAACTAGTTTTTGCCAATTTACCCTGTGGTCTCTGAGTTACCATTCAGTACCAGTGAGCTTTGCTTAACAAATGCTAATTTAACAAATCTAAAAAAATATGATTAGAAGCCCTATTTTTGGAATTCTGCATTATGATTACATTTTAGCCTATATATATTTTCTTCACTTCCTTTTTCTGAGCCTATATAACAGGTTTGCATGGTTTTGATATGCACTGCATGTAATATGTAAGTATAGTAACAAAGATGTAATTTAGTAGTAAGAGGATTAATGAGGAAGAAGTGGGTGTGTATGTGTGTGCACATATCTTTAGAAAAAAGGATCAAAATTAGTAATTTAAAAATATATGTTGATTTACTAGTAAGCTAGAAATCTTATAGGTTTATAATGTGAATCATCTTCGATACATTACAGTGAATTTCTTACTCCCAAATCTGATGATTCTTGGTCTGAGAATCTCCCACTACAGTTCTGTTTGTTTACATTTCTGTGTCTCATGTAAGATATAACATGTGTTTTTCTTATTCCATAGTGGATGAAATGTTGCTTATAGGTTGTGCTTGGAGATTTTAAGAATGGCTTTCATTGAATTCAATGGTGTATAGAAATATCCTGAAAATGGTAATAATTGGATTAATGAGCTTATGAAGTTGTAGTTTGTTTAATACACTTTATTTCATTCTTTCTATTAAAGAGAAACTATGTAAGTGAACATTTCTTTAGTTGTTTTTACTTATTGATGTCACCAAAGTTATTCACTCTTTTCTGACAGTTTGTTTAGTTGAAAACATGATAATGTCCCAAATCATAATATTGTTTTGATAGTTATATGAAAGGAATAAACACTTAGGACACTACTTAGTATGTAATAGATAACTCCATAATTAGGAGGAAAATATTCCAATAGAAGTGATGTAGTTTTAAGAAGATGTAAAAATATTCAGGATGGAAAATTGATATGAATTAAACATGTGGAGGGGATACCTGTTTCCATGATACAAAACTGGCTCTAAAATTAAGATAAATTTCTTTTATTTTTTTATTTTTTAATTATTTCCAGTTCTTTTATTTCTTTTTATTCTCAGCTACATGGACATCCGAGCCATTGTCCTTTGAAGTGCTATGGCTATACCATCTCATTATTCTCCCCATCCCATATCATTCTTGTTAATCATTAAAGGTACTGATCAGTAGTTTAGAATGTATACCGTGGTGTGAGAAGCATCAGAATGTGTTGAAAATTTTGGATTATCTATATATATCTATATCTATATCTATCTATCTATCTATCTATCTATCTATCTATCTATCTATTTATCATCTATGTATTATATATGAAAGTCTAAGTGACTGAACAACTGAATGACCGAATGACTTAACGACTAGTCACTATGACTTGCATTGACCACCGAGGGCAGACGCTCAATGCAGGAGGTGGCCCCTGGTGGTCACTGTGCCCCAAACCTCCCACGGTCCCTCCTCCAAAGTGGCCGGCCCCATCAGCCCTGATCCCAGCCAACCTCCCTCAGCCCCAATTGGCCTCAATCGCCGGCCAGGCCAACAGACCTCACCCATGCACAAATTTGTTCACTGGGCCTCTAATATGTTTTGTAAAAACGAGAGCTCATAACTCTTAATTTCATGATGAAGTCTTTCTTTCTGAATGTGAGTACTGGGAAACATCAGAGTAGCATGTGTGTATTTGAAAATGGGAATTATCTTCCTGGTTTCAATATTTGTTAGAATCCTAAAGAATTTTTATTTATCCTGAAACCCGTTTGGCCCAGTGGATAGAATGTCGGCTTGCAGACTGAAGGGTCCCAGGTTCAATTCCGGTCAAGGGCATGTACCTTGGTTGCAGGCACATCCCCAGTGGGGAGTGTGCAGGAGGCAGCTGATCAATGTTTCTAACTCTCTTTCTCTCTCTCTTCTTCTGTAAAAAAAAAATCAATAAAATATATTTAAAAATAAAAAGAATTTTTATTTACTGTTACATCATCATCATTTCCTTTACTGCAGTGGAACCCAGACAAATTAATCGGAATATAGACAATTGATCATGCTTTTAAAAAAATATGTGGTCTTATTGATTTTTAGAGAAGGAGAGGGATAGAGAGATAGAAACAGAAATGAAAGAGAAACATTGACCAGCTGCTTCTTGCACAGCTTACACTGGGAATCGAGCCCACAACCCAGGCATGCTCCCTCACCAGGTATAGAACCTGTAACCTCTTGCTGCATGGGATGATGCTCAACCAACTGAGCCATACTAGCTGGGCTGTTGATCATTCTTTCTAAGTATTCCAGAAACCATAGTAGCTTTTGATTTGAAATATTTTCTTCATGATTTTGGGTGCAAACTTATGTATGTCACTGCATGGCCATAAGTGTGTCTGTTTGCACCATATGTCCATTGAGTATCTTCCAGTCCATCACTGTCGGCCAGGATTTCTAGCTAGGCAGAGCTTATAGTAAAAACCCAGTGTCCTGTTCTGGATCTTGCATGTGCTGGTTAATATGATAGTTTATGTACATATGTCAGCTCAAAAGAACAATACAAATATCACATAAAGTACAGATATTGGATACTGTCCTGAACTTCCTGACATAGCTATATACTTACTATATGCAGCATCATACTGATGTTTTATGTGCCAGGCCAGCTCAGCCAAGGGTTCGGTAAGCCTGAGGGTGTTTGGAGAAGGACTGAAGAAAAGACAGACAAAAATAAATAAATAAATAAACTGGATCTAGCCGAAACCGGTTTGGCTCAGTGGATAGAGCGTCAGCCTGCGGACTGAAAGGTCCTGGGTTCGATTCCGGTCAAGGGCATGTACCAACAGGAGGTGTGCAAGAGGCAGCTAATCAATGATTCTCTCTCATCGATGTTTCTAACTCTATCCCTCTTCTCTCTGTAAAAAATCAGTAAAAAAATATATTTTAAAAAATAAATAAACTGGATTTAGGTGGATCTCCTGTGCCTGGCTGATGCCACAGAGAGAGATCCAGAAGGCAAGCTGAGCCTTTATTTTATAGCCAGAGGTAAACAAAGTAGTAATCACCATTGTTACAATATTCTTGTGACTTTCACTTGTTTTGGCAGTACTTGCTGCACTTCCCACAGCCCATTAGCTACCAAGATAGGATCTAGGGAGCATCATAAGGTCAAGCTTAATTATCCTAAGAGGGCTGTGCCCTCTAAGCTGGGACTTGTTTGTGACTTTGCCAACAGGTCAGTCTGAGGCTTAACCCTCTAACTGCTCCCTACAGTTTTGTGTTGAGAACTTTCTACCTGGGGATTTGTTCCACCATTTTTATCCTGTTACAGCTCAAAGTACAGAGCTGAACACATTCATAGAAACAGTATCTTAGCTAGATGGGTGTTGCTCCATTTCTGGTATAAAAGTGAGGAGTTATGAGGAGGTCTAGCAATGCAAATGACAGATAAATCAAGTTTTTCTATTCAGCTGGTCATTACAAAAACAATGAAGCATTCATGGTGCTTACTGTGCAGGAACTTATCTTCTAGAGTAGGGGTGTCGAACTCAATCAGAGAAGGGGCCAAAATCTAAAATCCAGCCTAAATCGCGGGCCGAATGGTTTACTGAACAGTCATAAACTGTCATTGTGATGGAAACGCAGCGGAGTGCAGTGATGACAGCGCGGTGCGGGCCACATTGCAAGGCCTGGCGGGACGGATTTGGCCCGAGGGCCTTGTGTTTGACACGTGTTCTAGAGCAATTGACTCACTAAATGGTCGAATTCATGATTGTGAGGTCAGTACCAGGAAGAGGTGGT